AAACCCTTATTCGATCAATGTAAAATCACATTATAAATATATTTATAAAAGGATATAATAAATTACGATAAAACCTAACTCATGAATATAAAACTAAATAGTTAAAAATTTAATTTTTAAAACATGTCGTAGAATTTGGATCACTATAAACCAATTATCAATAGCGGAATAATATTCATTTCTGAAACAAATACTTCAAATAAAGGCCCATGCTACCAAAATAAAGTCAAGTTGAAATATAAAAGCATTACAAATAGATGTACTTCAAGATATATGTTGATTCTCCAAGTGCTCGATCTGGGGTATCTAACCAACAGTATCTGAAAGGGAAAAAAACATTTTCAAAAAGTGAGCTAGGCTCAGTGTGTCCCAATAGTACAATAAAATCATAGTAGGTACAATAACCGAGTAATAGTTCAGTAAATCATCATAAAATCATAATGAAGTTTAACTTTTGAAACTCGTAGTTTAAATCCCTTCTCCTGTACACCAACCTCAGTTCCCTAGAACTGCGTCCGTAGGGCTACCTTAAGCACACAACAAAAAGGAAGCCTACCTAAGGATAAGCTTTTGGGCCTGTATCCTTAGGTCCATAGGGCTTACTCTAAGCACACAGCAAAGAGGGTCAACCTAATAGAGCATCTTGGGGCTCGTGAGCCTACCCAAGAGTCCATTAAGTACGTAAGGTTTACCAGCTTGATCAGAGCTATACCTACGTAATTCAATCCAACCCAAAATCAATATTTCAAAAATACTATTTATGCAGTAAGCATAATTTCCATAAATCAATAAACATCGTTATCATATATTAATGAAAACCAATAGTCATATATCAGTCATTGTCCATAAACCATCAATAAACAATAAATCATAGCTTTCAATGTACCATATTTCAAAACAGATAAAACAATTAAATAATACTTAGGGAACACACCTCGATAATAGGATCAAACTGTAGATCTACTGAGTACTGGCCTCGCCACGCTCTGCTACAGTTTTCGAACCTAATTCATAATAACATTACATTACTAGAGGGTAACATAATCAATTTCTGAAATTTTAAGATTTACGGGTCTTACGGGTGAATACTGGCACTCGTGGTTTAACTGATCTAGAAGAGCTGGGTCGAGCTGTCGAACGATCCGGAGAGTCTCTTGTACCTTCAAACAATAATAATTTATTAACCCCAAGTCTTACTTAATTGATCAAAGCTAAAATTCTTAAGTATATAAGCATTTTCTAGGTTTGACTATAAATTTGGAAGATTTCGAGTCTGAATTTGACCAAACGGATTACGGAATCGGAATCAGGACGTCGAAAAACATAAAGTATGACTTTCAAAAAATCAAATTCTTGGTCAAAATCAAAGTCAACGGGTTTGACTGATGATTTGGAGGCCTTTGAGTTCGAATTTGGTGAAACGGACTTCAGAAACGAATTCGGCACGTCGAAAAATGTCAGAATAGGTATACTCGAACAAAATCAAAGGTCGTTTAATGGCCGTTTAAAGCCGGTCAAAGTTATGGTCAAAGAGATTCAATAGTCCACATTCAAAAATTTCCAAAATGTCACATTTTTCAAAATAATTCCCAAAATGTCACCTTTTTCAAAGTATTTCCCAGGATGTTAACTTTTTTCAAAATATTTCCTAGAATGTCACTTTTTTTTCAAAATATTTCCCAAAATGTCACAGTTTTCAAAATATTTTCCAGAATGTCACCGGGTCTGGTCGGGTCAACGGGTCGGGTCAGACCGGTCAAGCCGGTCAACCAATTAACACAAAATTCGAATCTTCCCCACGCGCAGGGGCGGCGCGTGGGGGCGCGTGAGACAGCTTCCGGCCTCCAAAAATTCCTGCAAAAATTTCCGAAAATTCTTTTAAGCGATTTTGAGTCACTTACCAACATCGGTTCAAATTTTTGAACGGTGGAGAGCTCGATTTCACTTCGATCGGAACTTTGATCGCTCCATCCTCTCACGCGCCGCCGCCCACGGAGACAAGGAGGACACCGTCGGACTCGGAACGACACCAGGAACACGATGGTGCGGGAGGTGTCGAAAACTGATCAACGATCGGAGATGAATTTAAGATTTTCCCGGCGGTGCTGCTAAAAAAAACGTCGATACTTTGACTCGAAATTCAAGGCGTTTGGCAGCGTTTTGCTAAAATTGGTTTATTGGGTTTTGTTCACAGGTCAAAGATGAACACGATGTTGGTTTCAATTTGACGATCGGATGTCGAACTGCGTCGAAATCGGGCTTGAAAGTATATGAGCGGGAGAAAGGAAATATAAGCAAAACTTGTTTCTGATTTTTGAAATCAGAAACGCTTTTAAAACAATGCTGCCGACACTCTTTGGAGGAATTCAAGGCTTGGTCCTTGAATTTCCTTCAACTTCTAAAATAGACATCAAGTTTTCAAAACTTTTAATTTAGTCACCAAATTTCACCAAAATACACCAATAAATATATATTATTTTTTTCTCGATTTTCCGGGTTGTTACAATTCTCCCTCTGTACAAGAAATTTCGTCCTCGAAATTTACCTTATGAGAATGGTTGAGAAAATTGAGCCTCCATTGACTCCAATGTCTCTCAAGTAGTTTCTGAGGGGCCCTGGTTAATCCATTGAACTTTGACCATTGGAATACGCCTATTCCGAAGAACTCGCTCATCTCTTTCTAAGATCTGAATGGGCTCCTCCTCATATGACAAATCAGGTCTTAGCTCTGCCTCTTCAACCTGAATGATGTGACCCGGATCTGGACGGTATCGCCTCAACATTGATACATGAAAGACATCATGAATACGATTGAGCTCAGGAGGCAACTCAAGCTGATATGCAACATGTCATATCCTCTTCAAAATACGAAATGGTCCAATAAATCTTGGGCTCAATTTACCCTTACGCCCGAATCTCAATACTTTCTTCCAGGGTGATACTTTAAAAAAGACCTGATCTCCAACTTCAAACTGAATATCTTTCTTTCTTTGATCTACATAAGACTTTTATCTATCAAATGCCTCTTTTAGACGGTCACGAATCAATTTGACTGTGTCCTCCGTCTCGCGTATTAAATCAGGTCCCAAAGTCTTCCGGTCACGCAACTCAGTCCAACATATCGGAGTGCGACATTTACGCCCATAGAGTGTTTCGTAGGGTGCCATACGAATGCTGGTTTGATAACTGTTATTGTAAGCAAATTCAGCCAACGACAAAAAGTTCTCCCAGCTACCATGAAAATCAATTACGCAACCCCTCAACATATCCTCCAGAATCTGAATCACCCTCTCCGATTGGCCATCAGTTTGTGGATGAAATGATGTACTATAATCCAATCTTGTTCCCAAAGCTGTATGTAGCGCCTTCCAAAATCTCGAAGTAAATATCGGATCTCGATCAGAAATAATAGACAATAGAACACCATGTAATCTAACAATCTCCGAAATATACAATCTCGCCAGCTTGTCCAAAGTATAATTTACCCGCACATGAATGAAGTGAGCTGACTTTGTAAGTATGTCCACAATTACCCATACTGAATCTTTTTTCGATGGAGTCATAGGTAATCTGGTAACAAAATCCATAGTAATACGCTCCTATTTCCATTCAGGAATCTTAATAGGCTGTAACAAACCTGATGAATGTTGATGCTCTGCTTTAACTTGCTGACAAGTCAAACACCTAGCCACAAAATCCGAGATGTCCTTCTTCATACCAACCCAATGATACATCTCTTTCAAATTCCGGTACATCTTATCTCTACCGGGGTGCATAGCATATGGACTACTATGAGCCTCATTAAGAATAATCTGTCTCAACTCAGAATCATCAGGCACACAATATCGACCCTTAAAGCACAAAACTTTATCCTTATCAAGGGCGTAATCTGAGCTTGTCCCCTGCTCTACTTGCTCAAAGATGGATAGCAAGGAGCTATCAAGGGGCTGCTTAACTTTAATTTCATCAACCAAAGTTGGCTTAATTTGTAATTCTGATAACAAAGTGCCATCGTCATATAAATTCATCCTGGCCATTAAAGACCTTAACTCCGCTACCGCCTTTCGACTCAAAGCATTCGCCACAATATTAGCTTTACCAGGGTGATAATCAATCACACAATCATAATCCTTTAGAAGCTCTAGCCAGCGCCGTTGTCTCAAATTAAGCTCCTTCTGGGTCAGAAGGTACTTTAAGCTCTTATGATCAGTGAAAATATAACACTTCTCTCCGTAAAGATAGTGTCTCCAAATCTTCAAGGCAAAAATCACTACTGCTAACTCCAAATCATGAGTTGGATAATTACACTCATGTGGTCATAGTTGACGTGACGCATAAGCCACTACCTTAGCCTCCTGTATTAGAACACAACCAAGTCCTAAATGTGAAGCATCACTATACACTGTAAAATCCTTCCCGGACTCTGGTTGAATCAACACTGGTGCTTGAGTCAAAACCGCCTTTAATTTCTCAAAGCTCTCCTGTTGTGCCTCGCCCCAATCAAACGACACGTTCTTCCTTAACAGCTTTGTCAAAAGAGAAGCAATGATCGAGAAGTCCTCGACAAAACGTCGATAATATCCAGCCAAGCCCAAGAAACTGCGGATCTCAGAGACATTCTTGGGTCGTTTCCAATTCACAATAGCCTCGATCTTGCTTGGATCGACCTGAATACCTCGCGCAGAAATAATGTGCCCAAAAAACGACACTTCCTGAAGCCAAAATTCACACTTGCTTAGTTTGGCATATAGACGATGCTCTCTCAAGGTTCGCAGAACGATCTTCAAGTGCTTGGCATGCCCTGTTTCTGTCCGAGAATAAACTAGAATATCATCAATAAAGACAACCACAAATTGATCCAAATATGGCCGGAACACACAATTCATCAAATCCATGAAAGCTGCGGGAGCGTTCGTCAAACCAAAAGGCATTACTAAGAATTCATAATGACCATATCTAGTGCGAATGACGATGCTCTCTCAAGGTTCGCAGAACGATCTTCAAGTGCTTGGCATGCCCTGTTTCTGTCCGAGAATAAACTAGAATATCATCAATAAAGACAACCACAAATTGATCCAAATATGGTCGGAACACACAATTCATCAAATCCATGAAAGCTGCGGGAGCGTTCGTAAAACCAAAAGGCATTACTAAGAATTCTAATACCTATCTAGTGCGAATGGTTTTTTGAAACATCTGACCCTTAATTTTCAATTGATAATACCCGAATGAAGATCATCTTAGAGAATACAGTAGCTCCTCTGATCAATAAGTTGTCAATCCTGGGTAATGGGTACTTATCTTGACCGTCATCTTGTTCAACTTCCGATAGTCAATACATAGCCTTAGCGACCCATCTTCTTTTTCACAAACAAACTGGAGCTCCCCAGGGTGAGGTACTATGCCGAATAAATCCTCGATCGAATAATTCTTGCAATTGGACCTTCAACTCCTTAAGTTCCTTTGGAGCCATGCGATAAGGTGCAATAGAAATAGGTAAGATCCCGGATAAGTCCCAATCTTGAACTCTACCTCTCTATTAGGAGGTAACCCAGGCATCTCCTCCGGAAAAAATCAGAAAACTCGCTAACTGTACGAATTTCCTCGATCGTGGACAAGGAACCTTTAGTGTTCAGAATACAGGCAATGAAAGTCTCATACCCCTTCCTGATCATACGATCAATTTCCATAGTTGAAACAATATTGGAGAGATAGCCACGCCATTCACTAATTAACACAATAGTCCGACCATCTGAAGTCTTCAGAGTAGCACGCTTGTATTCGCAATCCAAATTTACCTTGTGTTTATTCAACCAATCCATCCCCCTGAACCTCCAATGGACAACGCCGAAGTACTTTATTCACTAACATTGACTGTCCTACTAGACTCGTAACCGTAACCGTATTATCAGTGTTCTCAATCGGAATATGAAGGTTTCGAGATACTAAACTCGATATATAGGAGTGTGTCGAACCATCATCTAATAATGCAAAGTATGTAATAGAATAAATAGTAAATGTACCTGCAATAACCTCAGGCTCATCTCTATCATCCCGACATCTGGTGGCATAAATCAAAGCTGGTTGTCTATCCTCTGAAACTGCAGGCTCTCGACTCTGCTGGGGTCGAGCTCTACTATCAGCTCTGGATGCTGATCCATAAGGCTTTCCCTGATTACGACCTCTAGTTGGGGTCTGTACTGAAGTCTGAGAACGCACAGGAGTCTGGGTAGCGGTCCGCTCTGACGAAGCTAACTGTGGACAATCCCTCCGAAAATGATCACTGGATCCACACTGATAGCATACCCCCATTTTCTTATGACACTCTCCTGTGTGTCGTTTACCACAATACTCACAAAGGGGTCCATGAGGCCACAATAAATAACCACCTCGACTGACAACTGAGGGTGAATATGGTGCAGGCCTAGAACTGGTATTGCTTCTCAAAGGACCCGAAGTACGAGTCTTCTTTCCAGGACGTGCGGAGAACTCGTTTGGGCCATAAATTCTCCCATGCCGCTCTCAATCAACACGGTCTCTTGTTGGAGCCAAGGTCTATACCTCCTCAGCATCCTTCGCTCTGCCTACCAGCATATCAAAAATCTCATCCTGATTGGTCACAACCTGCCTACGCAGCTCGTATCTGAGTCCAAGGGCAAATTTACGACATCGATCTCTCTCGGTAGGTACCATACTGACTCCATACTTTAGCAACTTCAAGAACTCGATCTCATACTCAGAAACGGTCATGTCTCCCTGAACCAGGTTCTGGAATTGCTGTCATCTCTGAGCTAAATAGCGCTCTCCCAGAAAACGGCTCTGAAAGCGCTCCTTAAAGAAACCCCAAGTCAAACGATCAGCCGAAACACTACTACCACTGACTCCCACCAGGTGTGAGCATTGCCATCTAATATCGCAACTGCACCCAGATATCTCTTAGTTGGGTCCAAACCCAACTGATCCATGCGTCTCTCAGTATTCTAGAGCCAATCTTCAGCTTCAGTAGGAGCTCCACCAATCTGTCCCCCAAAAGTTCTGACTCCATTGGCAATTAGAGTCTGCGAAATAGGAACCTTTGATACAACACCAGCAGCTCTTACCGCTCCCTGTATCAACTGCAGAAATTGTCTGCCAAAATTCTCATCCAAAGCAACTTCGGTAGACTCAGACTCAATATCGGTCGCTCCTATGATCGGTGTAGTCATGCCAGTAGCAGCAGTATGAGGCAAATTCGTCGGGGTCGTAGGAGCAGGATCACCTGTCGGAGGTGGGGGATCTACTCGAATCTCATTGATTGGGTCCGCAAATCTAGTCATTCGACCTCGTCCACGGCTAGTTCGACGTACACGTCTAGAACTCATTTTGATAGATCTCTAGTTTACTACAGAAGGTAAAACTTAGGGTTAGATAAGCACTTGGAGTCTCAAACACAATTAAAATCGTAAAAACTTTGAGACATGGCCTTAGCAACAGGTTTTGTAAAATATTTCAAACCGTACTTTAAATTTGGACTCTACACGTCCGAGGTTTAAAAACCAAAAGCTTACCAATTAAATGTAACCCCTAGACCCAGCCTATGCGTTTCGACTAAGTCTATCAGATCACATCCATAATTTTTAAAGACATTTTCTGAAACCCTTATTCGATCAATGTAAAATCACATTATAAATACATTTATAAAAGGATATAATAAATTACGATAAAACCTAACTCATGAATATAAACTAAATAGTTAAAAATTTAATTTTTAAAACATGTCGTAGAATTTGGATCACTATAAACCAATTATCAATAGCGGAATATTCATTTCTAAACAATACTTCAAATAAGGCCCATGCTACCAAAATAAAGTAAACTTGAAATATAAAAGCATTACAAATAGATGTACTTCAAGATATATGTTGATTCTCCAAGTGCTCGATCTGGGGTATCTAACCAACAGTATCTGAAAGGGAAAAAACATTTTTGAAAAGTGAGCTAGGCTCAGTGTGTCCCAATAGTTCAATAAAATCATAGTAGGTACAATAACCGAGTTATAGTTCAGTAAATCATCATACAATCATAATGAAGTTTAAGTTTTGAAACTCGTAGTTTAAATCCCTTATCCTGTACACCAACCGCAGTTCCCCAGAACTGCGTCCGTAGGGCTACCTTAAGCACACAGCAAAAAGGAAGCCTACCTAAGGATAAGCTTTTGGGCCTGTATCCTTAGGTCCGTAGGGCTTACTCTAAGCACACAAAAAAGAGGGCTAACTTAATAGAGCATCTTGGGGCTCGTGTGCCTACCCAAGAGTCCATTAAGTCCGTAAGGTTTACCAGCTTGATCAGAGCTATACCTCCGTAATTCAATCCAACCCAAAAATCAGTATTTCAAAAATACTATTTATGCAGTAAGCATAATTTCCATAAATCAGTAAACATCGTTATCATATATTAATGAAAACCAATAGTAATATATCAGTCATTGTCCATAAACCATCAATAAACAATAAATTATAGCTTTCAATGTACCATATTTCAAAACAGATAAAACAATTAAATAGTACTTAGGGAACACACCTCGATAATAGGATCAAACTGTAGATCTACTGAGTACTAGCCTCACCACGCTCTGCTACAGTTTTCGAACCTAATTCATAATAACACTACATTACTAGAGGGTAACATAATCAATTTCTGAAATTTTAAGATTTACGGGTCTTACGGGTGAATACTGACACTCGTGGTTTAACTGATCTAGAAGAGCTGGGTCGAGCTGTCGAACGATCCGGAGGTTCTCTTGTACCTTCAAACAATAATAATTTATTAACCCAAAGTCTGACTTAATTGATCAAAGCTAAAATTCTTAAGTATATAAGCATTTTCTGGGGTTGACTATAAATTTGGAGAATTTCGAGTCTGAATTTGACCAAACGGATTGTGGAATCGGAATCAGGACGTCGAAAAACATAAAGTATGACTTTTCAAAAATTCAAATTCTTGGTCAAAATCAAAGTCAACGGGTTTGACTGATGATTTGGAGGCCTTCGAGTTTGAATTTAGTGAAACGGACTTAGGAAACGGATTCGGCACGTCGAAATTATAAGAATAGGTATACTCGAACAAAATCAAAGGTCGTTTAATAGCCGTTTAAAGCCAGTCAAAGTTATGGTCAAAGGGGTTCAATAGTCCACATTCGAAAATTTCCAAAATGTCACCTTTCTCAAAATAATTCTTAGAATGTCACCTTTTTCAAAATATTTCCCAGGATGTCACCTTTTTTTTCAAAATATTTCCCAGAATGTCACCTTTTTCAAAATATTTCCCAGAATGTCACCTTTTTCAAAATATTTCCCAGAATGTCACCGGGTCGGGTCACGTGTCAAGTCAACGGGTCGGGTCAGACCGGTCAAACCGGACCGGTCAACCGGTCAACCAATTAACACCAAGTTCGAATCTTCCCCACGCGTGGGGGCGCGTGAGACCGCTTCCGGCCTCCAAAAATTCCTACAAAAATTTTCAAAAATTCTTTTAAGCGATTTTGAGTCACTTACCAACATCGGTTCAAAATTTTTAACGGTGGAGAACTCGATTTCACTTCGATTGGAACTTTTATCGCTCCACCCCCTCACGCGCCGCCGGCCACGGAGACAAGGAGGATACCGTCGGACTCGGAACGAAACCAAGAACACGATGGTGCGAGAGGTGTCGAAAACCGATCAACGTTTGGAGATGAATTTAAGATTTTCCTGGCGGTGGTGCTAAAAATAACGTCGATACTTTGACTCAAAATTCAAGGCATTTGGCAGCGTTTCGCTAAAATTGGTTTATTGGGTTTTGTTCACAGGTCGAAGATGAACACGATGGTGGTTTCAATTTGACGATCGGATGTCGAACTGCGTCGAAATCGGGCTTGAAAGTATATGTGTGGGAGAAAGGAAATATAAGCAAAACTTGTTTCTGATTTAATCAGAAACGTTTTTAAAACAATGCTGCCGACACACTTTGAAGGAATTCCAGGCTTGGTCCTTGAATTTCCTTCAACTTCTAAAATGGACATCAAGTTTTCAAAACTTTTAATTTAGTCACCAAATTTCACCAAAATACACCAATAAATATATATTATTTTTTTTCTCGATTTTTCGGGTTTTTACACGATTTAATGACCAAATGGAATGATTCAATGATATAAGGGCCTAATCAGCCGTTAGCCCACTATCTCAAAACGCAGTTCATCTTCCCCAGCTATCAAAATGTCACCGTTTTGAACCTACTTGAAACTACGCCGTTTTGGCGTTTCAATATATATAATATTAGGGTAAAATTTTGAGCCTTAGCCTCATTTTCTCCTCAACCCTAAACAAAAAAGCCCCAACCAATTTTTTCTTATCCTTTTCCCTCTTCTCCTACGTCTCCCTCAACCTTAAACGACAACCCATAGCCACTTTGGCCACCGTGGCCTACGACGACGAGCCTTCAAGCCCCGATGAAGAACCCTCAACTATTAACCCACTTAAAAGCTTTCCTACCCGAACCTTAACACTAAACCTCACGGCCGAAACCCAAACCCCATCTAGACTTCCCTAACCTCCTACAACAACAAAAATCTAAGGTTGAAAGCAGTTACCTTAGGTGACTCGAAGTGGCTCTGATTTTAGATGGCAAGGATAAGCTTCTATCTATGATAAAGATGAGGGTTTTGGCTATTTTTTTTGCTGTTTCGTTTTTTGGCTCGTAATGGGTTTATTTTTGCTCGAATGTCGTGTTACTGCTGATGGTTCCCGTTTGCTCTTGTTATCTCCCGATGATAGCTCTTTGTATTTATGTTTTTTTTCTTGCTTCGTGTCCCTACCCCTTTTTGATGATTGATTTTTTCCTTTTTATATATCTGATGGTTGGTTTTTTTTGCCTCTGTTCCCTCTTTTGGTTTTCTCGGAGAACAAAATAAACCTTTTGCAGGGTATGGGCTCGAGTTATCGTGAGCACCGGTGGCAGCAGTGGTTGTCTCAGTGGGTGGCCGACAAGTATGGGTCTCCCTCGGTGGGTGCTTGCGCATTGTCTCGATGGGTGATGCACTATCTCGGGCTTCCTCCTCTGATCTGTACGCTGGCTCGGGACTCTGGGGGCATCGTGAGCTGTTGGATCTCGTCAGATCCAACGGTGGAAGTTTCTGGCAGCGTATAGAGTCTTTAGGGTTTAAAAAATCCTAAATTTGTTATCAACCTTCCTGAGCCGTTGGATGAGAGCCTCCAGATCCTATGGTCCACAGAGTGCGATGCTAGGCACTCTTCAGAGCAAACCGTAACGGGTTTAAGGTTTTTGCAGTTGGGCTT